TGGGATTCTCTCTCCCTCTCTCTCTGCCCCTTCCCTGCTCACTCACTCGCTCTCTCAGCATACATAATTTTAAAATTTTTTAATAAAAATTAAAAAGATTTATTTATTCATTCTTTTAAAATTAATAATCTCACACGTGCAAGAAATAAATTTTTACAAAAATAACTACATTTTTCAAACGGAAAACACTTCAGTGAGGGACGTGGCATTGTTTTACAGTTTTTCGAATCTCTGTAATGTGTGGCTTGACAGAAGATAGCTGGATTCTCATACCTGCTGCTTCTTTTTAAAACATTTTTTTTTCAACGTTTTTTATTTATTTTTGGGACAGAGAGAGACAGAGCATGAACGGGGGAGGGGCAGAGAGAGAGGGAGACACAGAATCAGAAACAGGCTCCAGGCTCTGAGCCATCAGCCCAGAGCCCGACGCGGGGCTCGAACCCACGGACCGCGAGATCGTGACCTGGCTGAAGTCGGACGCCTAACCGACTGCGCCACCCAGGCGCCCCATCATACCTGCTGCTTCTGCATTCGATCTCTTGCAGCGGCTTGTCGGGGTTGAAGTCTGCAAAGAAAATCTAGGTCACGCTGACATGTCATTAGAAAAGAGGATCTCGCAGAGCCCCTGAACGGGACTATAGACCACACTTGGAGAAATGCTCGTCTACGCGGATCTCTGCTCACTTTTTGGAAAGCCATACCCCTACCCCTAACCTCAGGTCCATCACCTGTCTTCCTACAGGAACGAGTCCCCAAACCTGGTTCTTCAAGCTCAAGTACCATGGGGCCCCCGCTTACACGAGATGGAGTGTGCCAGCCACTGGCCACCTTGGTCCCCTGCTGGTGACACTCTTCAAGCAAAGCTGCCTATGGCAGTGACCCAGGGACACCCGCTGTTGTCCCTAAGCTTTCTGATAAGGAACCCTGTTTGCCCAGTTCCTAGAGATGCCGCTGTTTAGACCATAGCGAGGAAGCTGTTTTCCTTACTGCCTGGTACTTTGCAAGGCAGACCAGCCCCTCCAAGTCCAAGGCTGTGCCCGGGGTGGCCCAGAGGAGCCCCGTGTGGATTTGGGTCTTTTCCCCGTGCACGCAGCAGGCACCACTTACCTCCCGCCTCATCCCTTCCCGAGAGCCTCCTAACGTCGGAGGCCCCTGTTGGGCAGCATCAGTGGGGCCATCAGAGCAAAGCTGTGACACAGTCGTCCCCCATGAATTAGCCTCGGAGAGCGGGGTGGGGAGGACAGCTAGGAGCCCAGAAATATCCTCAAGCAGCTCAAGCATTCGCGGGCCTAGATGGGGTCGAAACAAAGAAATAACAGCAATAAAATGTGCAGCCGCCCTTGTCCAGCCCCCATTTGGTTTTCCGGGTTGCAGCTTCTCATAACCCGTAGCCCTGGGACCTTCAGGAGCCCCACCCCGGCTGCAATTCACGGGGAGGGCTGTGGCATGACCCACAGTTACCCAAAGCACAGTGAGCAGGGCAGGGCTGAGCAGGACCACGTCTGCCTTCCTGGGGAGACCCTCCTCTCCTCCCCCTGGGCTCCCCCCCTCCCAAGCAACAGCTAAACGAGTCCAGACAACAGCAGCCCCCACAGCTGGAGCCACCGTCAGCAGGCTGGGTGCCCAGAGTGAGCACGAGGGGTTCTGGGAAGAACAGTTTGCGCCTCCCCAGACCTGCTCCAACCCCGGGGTTAACAACGAGGGTTTTCTTGGTCCTCCCCGGCTGGCATGGCCTCTACTGGCCTGGAAAGGAGGGAAATGGGAAGAGGGGGCAGGGCCGGAAGGAGTGCAAGAGCCCGGGCCGTCAACCAGTCCAGGGTTTTCAGACTTGGCTTTGGCAACAGAACTACTTTGGGGGGTTGTTTGTGTTCCTGTAGTTTCTAACTGAAGGGTGGCCTGCTCTGTCGAGAGCTTGCTGACCCCTCTGGCCTGTCTGTTGCTTGCTTTCAGCCCCAAGATCTTGGAAATACAGTTTGGTAACTACTAGTGTGGTTCATCTGCCCATTTCACAGATGGGGAAACAGATCCCAAGAGGGAAGAAGTCTGTTGCCCGCAGACTGACAGTGTGTGGCGGCTGGGTAGAACCTAGAATCTGGTGCTTTCTGCAGGGACATCCAGGCAGGGACAAAACGGGGGAGGCAGAGGCTGGCGTGAAGTCGACATCTCACCAAAGGACAGGCAGGAAGAGAAAGATAAATGTATCTTCTGTCCTCCTGTGGCCACAAATCCAGCCTCTGGCCGTGGCAATAACCACCCCTCCATTTCCACCCATGGGACCGTCCGCTTCCCTCACCCACGGCCCCAGGAAAGGGGAGCCTCGGCACTTTGACACATGGGCCTTCTAAGACCCTAGAACACAGGCCCTGTGACTCCCCCTTCCTACATTCCCAGCCTCTTCCTGCCACAAGGATGCATTTTTGCACATTACTGAGTAACAGTGTGTGTTCTGAGATCACACGTGCCCTGACCCTGCTGACCATGAGGCCTAAGTCTCGAGTTTTCTAAAGAGAGAGGTCATGGCTTTTGTCACATTCTCAAATGGGTCTGTGGTCCAAGAAGTGGTTAAGAGCAATCGTGTAAGGAGAGGAGGGGCCTTGCAGAGGGGAGGGGGGTGGAGGCCAGGAGGGTAGGGTGGGGAGGGCTGTGTTGGTGGTATTCTTCCCCGCCAGAGGCTTCTTTTTTATGAGAGAGAGAGAGAGAGAGAGAGAGAGAGAGAGACAGAGGGTGCAAGTGAGCGAGAGGCAGAGAGAGAAGTAGGACTCGAGGTCACCCGATGTGGGATTCAAACCCGCTAACCTTGAGATCATGACCTGAGTCAGATGTTTACATATGTTACTTGGTTTCATTGCCCTCACCTACTCATGATGGAGGGTCCCTGGCTCCATTTTACAGATAAGGAAACTGAGACCCAGTGATATGAGGTAGCTTGTCCAGGACACGGCGCTGGCCGAGGGATAGAACAAGTCAGGCCGGAGACCGAGATCCGCAACAGTGTTGTATCTGGGTCTGCAAAGGCCTTCAGCTGTGGAACTTGGCAGCTGGCACGTCAGAAGCCTCCCTGTGCCAGTATGCACACCAGACCTTGAGCCCTGCATCTAGGTCCCTGGTAAATTATTTCAGCAGCCAGAGGCCCTGACAGAGGGCTCCTTGCCTCTGAGATCCATTCCTGCTGGGTAGGCAGCAAAGCCCCCCTCACTGGCCCTTGGAATCGATTCTTTCCTTCCTTCCTTCCTTCCTTCCTTCCTTCCTTCCTTCCTTCCTTCCTTTTCTTTCCTTCCTTCCTTTTCTTTCTTTTTTCTTTCTTTCTTTTCTTTTTCAATGCTAATTTATTTTTGAGAAAGAGAGAGCTGGAGAGCAGAGAGGACAGAGAATCAGTGGCCCCGTGGCTGACAGAGATCACCATGAGACCTGAGCCAAAAAAGTCAGACACTTTAACCCACTAGGTGCTCCCCCTGCCGGATCCATGCTAAAGATCCTTCCCTTTTGTTTCTAAAATACCACTAAACTCAGGACTTTAGGGACATCTAGATTCTCAGACGCCTATCCGCCTCCAGCCCAACTCACTTCGATAAACCAGATAAACGAGCAATCCCTTAAAGAGCCCCCATTTCCCCCCCTCTGCTATACACTGACATGAAAGCCAGCCACCCCCCCACCATTCTCCTGAAATTTTTCTTTTTATTTTTGTTTTTAACAAAATTTTTTAATATTTGTTTTTCTGGGAGAGAGACAGACAGAGCACTATAGGAGGGGCACAGAGAGAAAGGGAGACAGAATAGGTCTGAACAGGCTCCAGGCTCCCGGGCTGTCAGCAGAGCCTGGATGCGGGCTCACCCAATGTGCTGGGAATCAAGTGAGACACACTAGAGCCAAGTCAGACACTTAACCGACTGAGCCACCCAGGCTCTGGAAATTTTCTTTAAAACATCTTTATTATAAGATTGCTTGTCTTCCACTGTGACTGGGACATATAATTCAAAAATTTTTTATGTTTTAATATTTATTTTGGAGAAAGAGAGACTGAGCACTAGTGGGAGTGAGTGAGAGAGAGAAGGGAGACACAGAATCCCACTGAGGCTCCAGGCTCTGAGCTGACAGCACAGAGCCCAATGCCGGGTCTCTGGTCTGGTTACATGAGCCAGACGTGACGGAGCCAAAAGTCGGGACGCCAATCAACTGAGCCACCCAGGCTTCGTGACTGGGAGATACTGAGTTACGCATTTTCAGGAAAGTTAAGGTAAAATAACCACCACGGCTTGACTTCCAGCCACACTGTGAGATGGTATCGCCACAGTGTTGAGTTAATCGCCACCCTGCTGTAGTGGAGAAAAAAAAGAAAAACCATGTTTTCTTTTTGGCGATGAGAGCTCTCCTAGGAGCAAAAGCGCCACTAGCAGCAATGACCACAGTCGTCAAAGTGCTGTCGACGCTCCATTCCTCCTGAAGTCCCGGGCCTGGTTTCTTCATCTGTAAATTGGGAATAATGATGCTACTTGCCTTTATGCGATTTTTTTTTTCTTTTTTTTTTTAACATTATTATTTATGGACAGAGACAGAGCATGAACGGGGAGGGTAGGCAGAGAGAGAGGGAGACACAGAATCGAAGCAGGCTCCATGGCAGGCTTGAGCCATCAGCCCAGAGCCTGATGCGCGCGGGCTCGAACTCACGGACTGAATGCGGACTCGAGCTGAAGTCGGACGCTTAACCGACCACTGGAGCCACCCAGGCACCCAACCTATGGGATTTCTCATCAGCAAGGTGTGTTTGAAAGTTCAGACCCCCCCCACCACCACCTCACCAAAAAAATGGTAGGGAGCAAAACCCCTGGGACTCAAATTCACTAAGCAATACACACATATTTCCTTTATGCCCCAGGGCTGGCCCCTGGGAACTCAGGCTGGGATGTTCCCTTCTCTCTGGCTCAAAGTGGGGTACTATGCAGCTCAGGGGACCAGGGGTCAGTGAAGGTGAGGGCGGCAGAAGTGGTGTGGTACTTTCTGCGCCTCCCCTGCCCACCTTCAGTGGCCCCCAGTGGTCCCCTCAAAGTGGGCTGGGTACCGCCTGAAAAGGGAATGTTAGCTTCACTGCCTGGCTCAGGCAAGACACCAAGCTGAGAACAGAAACCGCAGTCTCCTGCACCAGAGGGACAGTCAGAGAGACTGGGGCTGCCAGGCGTCGTGAGGAAAGACACAAGGGTTTACCCCTGCTTTTTTTCACACAGAGGGCATAAAGTTTATTCTAACTTCTAGGGTAGGAAAAACCCCATACCACTTTAAAGTGATTAACGCTGTTTCAAGTCATCACAGTGGTATTTCTCTGACTGGTGGGGAATTGGGCCACTTGTCCTGTTTGGGTAGCCTGTTCTTTTCCCCCAGGCATGGGCAGGCTGTGGCAGCATCCTCTCTGTCCATACACATCCAGAATTATTTAAGTGAGTCGGCCTCAGTCCAATGCACTGAGCCTGCCCTGGCCAAGCCCATGGGGACCATTGCTGGGAAGGCCAGGGGTGTTCCCTTTCTGCAGAGGCCCCAACTGGGGTTTGTCTGTGTGCAGTGACTCCCAAACCCTTGTCCCTCCTCGCTTATGAATGGGAAAGCTCTGCTCCACTTGAGTTCTTTTTCTAGGGAGCCTGTGGTTTTTCAATTGACAGAACGTAATGATTCAACCCCAATGATTCAGAAGCCTCCTCCTCCTCTTCGCAAGGCACAAGAAGTTACAAGAAAGGACCAACAAGAAGGAGAGAAACATCCTCAGGAAGCATGAAAACCTTCGACCAGAGGTTGGAGGGCTTGAGATAGATACATCCCTGCACTGGGAAGGCCATCTCTGCAGGGGCTTCCCTGGCCCCCTGGGGAAGTTCTGCAGCTGGGAAACCTTGAAGGGAGTGTGTGTGTGTGTGTGTGTGTGTGTGTGAAGGTGTGAGGGGGGGGGGTCTCCGTCTTTGCCCGGGTGCTGGAGCGGGGCACTGAGCCACCTCCAGAGCAGAGGGCTGTTCTGGGCCTGTTGGGTGGGACTCGAGGGGTAGGGCTGAGCCGCCCCTGACCTCTGGACGTCCTTCACTCTTGCAGGACCTGGGCATGGAGTCAACCTCTCTGGACGACGTTCTGTACCGCTACGCCAGCTTCCGGAACCTGGTGGACCCCATCACACACGACCTCATCATCAGCCTGGCCCGTTACATCCACTGCCCCAAGCCGGTAGGGCAGCTGTGGTCTGAGCCCGCCAGATCTGGGGGTGTGAGGCGGGCGCCCTTCTGCCAGAGAACCCAGTGCCCAGGAGGGTTGGTTGATACTGCCCGGGGCCAAGGGCACAAGCCCCTTGTGCAGACATCAAGCCAGCGGGCCTGATGCCTGCCCTGTCCTAAGGCCCAGCATCCATAGCAGAGATCAGCATGATCAGTAGGGGATTTGTTTGGCTCCTGAGTGTATTAAATCCGAATTCACTGCCAACATGTAAAACTCAGAATATTTCACACGTTCTCCATATTTAGCTACCCTTGAAAAACGGGAAGTTCTGGTAACACGAAGCCCTCATTTCTATAGGACTGGAGCTGAGTAGCCTCCCCTATTACGTGGGGCCAGGGCCACCGCGTAGAGTCACGTAGGTTGTACCTCGCACAATGACACGTAAGAGCAGAGGTGGCAGGGGTGAGGGCAGACAGGAGACCACTCAGATCCAGCCCGGTCTCCACCACCAGGCCTTAGGCGCCGGTGCAAGACTGTGTCCATCTAGAGGCGGACGTTTCCTTATGTGCACAAAGGTGCCACGTAAATCTCGCAGGGACCCTGCTTGCCTCCGGCCTCAGTCCCCCCACTCCCAGCGGTCTCCCTGCCTAAGGCTGAATGTCATTTTCCACCCACCCACTTTGCTCACGTCCACTGGCTTCCGAAGCTGAGAGGGAAAAGCTCCGGGGTCCCTAGCTCCGCAGCCAGGTACTACTTAGACATTTCCGGATGGGAGGCTCTGCCCCTCTCGAGGGGTTCGGGGCCGGCTCACCCAGAGCTGCCCTGGCAGGGCCCGGGAGGGCCGGGGTGGGGCAGCCCCACCCTGGAGCTTTTCTCTCCCATCCCTCAATTTCTAGCAGTTTCCAAAAGAAGCGCGGAACAGGGGCAGGGAAGCCGGAGCAGGACCCAGGAGTGCCTGAGGGAAGCTCGTGCTTTCAAAGTAGGATCTAGGATAAGAGGGAGGAGGTGATTTTCAGACCCACAGTCGTCCAGGGGGCTGGGACCTTGCTCTGGAGCTGAGCCTCCATCTGGGCCTTTGTCTAGGGCCTTGACTTTGGCTTCTGGGGCTGTTTGGAGCCAGGACTCCGAGGTGAGGAGTGAGTTCTGAAGGGCTGGGAGACGGTCGGCGGCAGGCGTGGGGGAGGGTTGGTGGTGGGACGCAGCAGAAGGCAGGGATGCTGGGCTCAAATATGTGCCGGTTAGAAAAAGCTGGCAGTGACGGTTGGCAGGCTGGGAGCCTCGGGCCCGGGGAAGAGGGGCGGGTGCCAGGAGCCGTGGGGGGGGGGGACCGGCTGGGCCTGGAGTCACCTTCACTTCTCATTCAGATTATACCTGGCTCAGCCTGGAGCAGCTGAGACCAGAGTCCGTAGGCCTCGCAGGTGCCAGACCTCTGCCTTTTCTAGAACTTAGATGCCCGCAGGTCAAGGGGTGACACTCAAAGCAGCTCATTGGGAGAGATGTTATTTTCATGCCCATTTTAACGTTGAGGAAGACCAGATTCAGGCAATGAAGTCATCGGATAAAGGTTACACTCCAGATGTGATCTGGACCCCAGTTCCGGGCAGAGTGGGGACCGGTTGTTCAGGATCTCTGCACTGTCCCTCAATGGCCAGCAGCTTCTCTCAGGGCTTGAGTGGGGGCTCGCAGGGTTGCATGGGGGCTGGAGGTGGGGGGCCTGTGCGGGAACAGCCTGATCACCCGTCCCCCCTCCTCCCTCCCTGCCCGCCCATGCCGGACCTCAGGAGACTGGACGGGGAGGGAAGGAGAGGTGGCCCAAGGGATTCTGTGCTGAGTTCCATCCCTTCTGTCTGGGCGGCGACCACAGGGCCCTGTTGTTGTCTTAGCTCACGCCGCTACAACACGTTACCACTGACCGCGTGGCTTATAAACAACAGAAATGTGTTGCTCACAGTTCTGGAAACCGGAAGCCCAAGATCAGGGTGCCCAGCATGGTTGGGTTCCGATGAGAGCCCTGCTCTGGGTTTGCAGACAGCCACCTTCTTGCTGTGGCCTCACGTGGCAGAAAGAAAAAGAACTGGCTAGCTCTCTGGCCTCTTCTTCTTCTTCTTCTTCTTTTTTTTAAGGTTATTTATTTATTTATTTATTTTGAGAGAGAGAGTGGGGGAGAGACAGAGAGAGGGAGAGAGAGAATCCCAAGCAGGCTCTGGGCTGACAGCGCAGAGTCCCACGTGGAGCTCGAACTCACGAACTGTGAGGTCATGACTTGAGCGGAAACCGAGAGTTGGCGCTTAACCAACTGAGCCGCCCAGGCACCCCTGAACTTCATCTTCCTCCGCTCCAAAGGGGGATAACAACACCGTCTCCTGTGGGCCCGTCGGAAAAATGATTCTTGAGAAGGACGCCGTGTGTCTGGCATGGAGGAGCCCCTGTACGCAGAAGCTAAGGTATAATTCAGTCATCGAGCACCAATCATGTGCCAAGCAGGGTGCTCGGGCCCAGCACGTCAGTTGTGGGGCACGGAGGCCGGCAGTGGCCTCAGAGTCTTGGAGGACAAGGGTCTGGCTTCTGATTTCCGGATTTCCGAGAGCCAGCCGGTGGCGTCAGCCCTGTCGGAGGCCCGGGAGCCTGGCAGGTTCCCCTGCCCATATCTAAGGCCATGTGGCAGGAGAAACCCTTCCGAAGGACTCTTCCGGTTGGGGTGGAGGCCGAGATGGGCGGTCCCGACTCTAGGGCCCCGAGCCTGGTGGTAAGGGCAGCCCCCAGGCCCACCCCCAATACATGACTGCCTTGGGGCTGGCCAGGACCTCCCGTTCTTAGCTCTTTCACTCAAGTGTGAGCCTTAAGGTTATAGGCAGAGATGTCAAGACCATCAACTATGAGGGGGCGTCTCCCTCAATTGTGAGACGGGACAAAGGAAGCAACCCTTCCTGGTCCAGTCTTGGTGGAGCATCCACCAGACAAATAACCCTTCCCACCACTAAGACGACCCCCTTGAATGAGTCCCATCCATTTTCTTGACCTGTGTCCCAGCTGGAGGTGGGCCTGGGCCCTGGCAAAGGGGTGGGTCTGTGCCTGTCCCGAGGTGGAAGGGGACGGGCAGAACCCCATCCCACCCGTGACCGTGTGCTCAAAAGTCACCCACCTCTTGGACATTTGTGCCCTGGAGCCCGTGAGTCACCACCCCTCCCCCACTGTGAGCACAGATCACTTAGTGGGAAATTTGAGGCTCTTTCCTTCCCTGGGCCCCAGCTCCAGCCCCGCACATCTATCCCATCGTGTCTACAGTAGGGTTCCCCGCACGCAGACGCTAAAATGAGGGTGTGTGGACAGCAATCTGTTAAGGAGGTGTCCCAGGGAAGCCAGGCCAGCCCAGGCTCCATCCTGAGGAGGGCAGGTGGCTTTGGCCTGGTCCCTCGAGGACCCCGGGGCTCGAACCATAGATGGGCTCCCCTGGGACGTAAGCTCCCAGGCACATCTGTCTCACTGGCTCGCCTGGGCCGTCCAGACAGAAGCACAAAATTGGGAAACGTGGATCCAAGGGCGTTTGGGATGGAACAGCCATGTTGCCCGCCACAGCCAGCAAGTTCCAACAGCCCTGATTCCCCAGTGGTTGGGGTCTCTCCAAGGCCCTCCTGGTCCCCGCGTCCCCCGTCTCAGGGCTGCTGTCAGAGTCTCCACCTGGACTCTGGGCCTCTGCTCCTGCCCTCTATGCTCTGGGAACACCCAGAGAATCATCTGCAAGGTGCCCTGGATCACACGTGCGCCTCCCTGAGATACCTTCCATTGTGGCGTCGCATTGTAGGCTGAAACCAAACTCTTTATTTGCCCCTGCCTGCATTTCCTGTATCATTCCTTATTTCCCTGTCCCACGCTCCAGCCACGTGGCCCTCCTGCCTGTGCCCAGAGCATCCAGATCCTTCCTGACCTTACGGACCCTGCTCCTGCCTGTGACCACACCTGCCCTCTCTGGCTGGGCTGCCCTCTCCTCCGTTCAGGCTCAGCCCGACTGTGTCCTCTCCAGGGCCACCTTTGACCAGCCTAGCTCGCAGAGTCGTCCCGGCCAGCCTTTGCGCTGTGTATTGCGTTATTTCACTCGCGGGTCTCCGAAGTTCTCTGGCTTGCTTACTCGTGAGCTAACCTACTGCCCGCCTTCCCCACCAGAATGTCAATTCCGAACGGGCAAGAGATGACACCTGTCTCGTTCGCCGTTACTTCTTGCGCCAGGCAGGGCCCCGGGGAGAAGCAGGCCACACGGAAGCCAACAGGGGATGTTGAGACACCCAAAGATGAGCAGCAGTGGGAAGCTGTTACCAGAAAGGGCCGTGGGTGCAAGCCATGACATGGGAGCCAGAACCCTGCTTCTAGAACCATGCAGTATTTCTATTTATTTATTTATTTATTTATTTTGAGACAGGGACAGAGAGTATCAGTGGTTCTAGCTTAGGGTCCCTTAAGACAGTGGCCAGAGTTGCAAGCATCAACAGGCTTGGCAGAGATTGGCAGACCCCCTTCCCGGATGGCACATCCCTTGGCTGTTGGCAGGAGCCCCCAGCTCCTTGCCACACGGGCCTCTCCATAGGACCTCTTGAACTTCCTCACATCGTGGCAGCTGGCTTATCGCTGAGCAGGTGATCCAATAATGAGCAAGGCAGACACCACAATATCTCTTATGACCCAGCCACATTCTGTGGACCGCTCAGGTCAGCCCTGATGCCGTGTGGAAGGAGACTACGAAAGGGGGCTATTACAGGAGGCCAGGATGGGTGGTGGGGGCCATCTTGGAGGCTGACTACCACACAGGCTGAAACAAGAAGGGAATGAGAAGAGAAGGGCCTTTCCTCCTGTCCTCTGATCTCGCTCCAATCGCTCTCATTAGCTGAACCCGACTGGAAGCCGGGGCCAGAGGGTCAGTGATGCTGTCTATAGGCTCAGCCTTCCAGGCACCGAGAAGAGTAGATAATGGACTCCAGGAAGGGAGTAAAGAGAAAAGCCAGGAGAACTCGGTATCTGGA